CAGAGCCAGGCCTCCTGATCTCACTCTCAAGAATAGGGGCTCACCCCAGGCTCTCTGGCCATGGGTACCCTCATGCAGAGGATCCGTGAAGACTTTCCTCCTTGCCCCCACCCTCGCTACCCAGGTGCCTTCCCCCATCCCTCCGCCCCCTGCACCTGTGGTGACATTGTCTTGGAGCCTGTGCCATTGCCTTGCTGTCCCTTGCCTGGACAGGCATTCAGAAAGGTTTATCAGATCAGTGGGCCCACTAGTCCACAGTGACCCCAGCACTCCTCTGATGTGTCCCCAGAGACCTGGGTGGGGCCCCGGAGGGCAGGGAGCAGAAGAAGCCTGCCAGAACCCCTGTCTCACAGATGTCCCAACAGTGCACTGCATGTCCTGTTTCCTTTTCAGCATCAGCGATCCCTTCATTTTCAACTTGTGCAGCAAAGACAGGTCCTCCGAGCACTACTCCTGCCAGCGTCACAGCTACAGCGACCTCAGGGAGCTCCGGCAGGCCCGCTTCCTCCTGCAGGTATGCCCCCAGGGCGCTGACATGCCGGGAGGGGCTAGAGGGAGGGTCATCTCTTCATAAGACAGGTGGTCCAGGCACCATTGAGGGACACACCTCCACGACCCCTCCTTGTACCTGTGCACAGCCCAGTGCCTCAGGGAGACACCTGGGCTTATGTTGGTCCCAGTCCCTGGCTGGAGTTCTGACTTCTGCCACATTGTCTCTCCAGTCCCTGTCGTGGCCTGCTGGGCCTTGCTCACTGTGTTGTTTCTGTTCCAGCCTCTTTGCTCTGTTCTCCCCTTGACATACCCCATAGCCGCCTCAGAGACTTAGGAGAGCGGGACAAGGCAGCTCCATCGCCTCCAGTAGAGTCGATGACAGAGAGTTGGGTGCTGTCTGCTCTGCTCTGACCATGTGGCACTGGAGCCCCTCTGCTCACCTGTCTCCAGGCTCCTGCTCATTTCCTAGGCCAGTGGTTTAGGGACCTCCTGACTGACCCCTCCAACCGGCTCTCGCAGAGCCTCAGTCACTGCCTTCCGGGGCTTCCCCAGGCACTGAACAGAAGGTGGCTCCTTTCAGAGGAAGAGCCTGCCCAGTATCCCTGCCTCACCCTCTCTGCAGGGTCTGGGTAAGTTCCAAAGGCCAGCAAGGGGACAGTGCTTGGCCCTGATTGATGTAATAAGGACACAAACGTTCCACTTACTTGTATGACACATAGCACATTTGGGGGCACATAGGAGGTACTCAAAATTATTTTTTATGGTTATATGTCTACCTTACAGGGTATAGACACTAGCAAACCTTGTCAGTAAGTAGTTTCTTTTTTCCAGTAAACAGTGATTGTTTCTGGATGGTCGGTCCTTCTGACAGTGGTGGAAGCCAGAGTGGGAGAGTGTGTATGCAGGGCCTTGTTGGGCACGGGTGGCATGGCAGG